CTAGTATTTTCCGCGTAATTTCGCATAGTTTTGAAATTTTCGCGTTAAGATTTTCAAGTGTAAAAACCAAAATATGTTAAAAGTCAGGCCCTTTTAGGACCGCTACTCAGGCCCTTTTGGGACGCTGACCCAGGCCCTTTCAGGACCCTGACCCAGGCCCTTTCAGGACCCTGACCCAGGCCCTTTCGGGACCGTGACCTAGGCCCTTTTGGAACTCAAACCTAAGCCACGTGACCCAGGCCCTTTCGGAACCCTGACCCAGGCCCTTTCGGGACCGTGACCCAGGCCCTTTTGGAACTCATGCCACGTGACCCGGTTACCACGTGACCCAGGCCCTTTGGGGACCGTGACCCAGGCCCTTTCGGGACCCTGACGCAGGTCCTTTCGGGACCGTCAGACCGTGACGCAGGCCCTTTTGGAACTCATACCTAGGCCACGTGACCCAGGCCATTTCGGGACCCTGACCCAGGCCATTTCGGGACCCTGACCCAGGCCCTTTCGGGACCCTGACCCAGGCCCCTTCGGGACCGTGACCCAGGCCCTTTTGGAACTCATGCCTAGGCCACGTGACCCGGTTACCACGTGACCCAGGCCCTTTCGGGACCGTGACCCAGGCCCTTTCGGGACCGTTACCCAGGCCCTTTCGGGACCCTGACCCAGGCCCTTTCGGGACCGTGACCCAGGCCCTTTTGGAACTCATACCTAGGCCACGTGACCCAGGCCATTTCGGGACCCTGACCCAGGCCCTTTCGGGACCCTGACCCAGGCCCTTTCGGGACCGTGACCCAGGCCCTTTTGGAACTCATGCCTAGGCCACGTGACCCGGTTACCACGTGACCCAGGCCCTTTCGGGACCGTGACCCAGGCCCTTTCGGGACCGTTACCCAGGCCCTTTCGGGACCGTGACCCAGGCCCTTTCGGGACCGTGACCCAGGCAGTTATGGAACCCTTGTCGTTACCGTACTTCGATTATAGTGTATCAGTTACCATTCGTAACTTCACCACACCTGATTACTCTATATCACATTACAATGTCATGGACCGTTTACTAAAGATTCCATGATCCAAAGTAGGTGATAATACTAATAGGAGAAGTAGGTGTAAAGGGTAATGAGCTCTATTCGTTGTAGCGTTGGCTTTATAGTGGGTTTAATGGATCTTGGATCAAATGGTTCACAAGCTGAACTGACGATCAATGCCAACAATTCCGTGTCACATATTTGCGATCACGCATGGGATCTAATCGACTCTATCAAGAGGCGTCTTCAAATAACTGTCTCCTGATCTCTACCAGATCAAGTCACTGTTTTCAGATAACTGAATCTTAATATAGGTTCAATCATGGTCTTATAAGTAGTAGAGAACTACAGCCTCAGTAACACATGAACAGACCTATTTATAATAACAGCGGCGGTTATACGTTTAGAATTTCCAAAGTCCTTGAGAAAATCCAAAAGAAAACCGCACAATTCCCGCACAAATTTCGAAAAAATCGCCGCACATTTGCCGCATAATTGGTAAAAATTTACCGCACCTTACGGCACATTTTACCTTTATAGTCGGGTGCGGTACCGCATAATTTCGATTATGTTTACCGCACCTAATATGTGCCTCTGAGGGGCAGCATTGAAAAAGTGCTTAAAAGCGCTTTCTAATTCCTGCCAACCAGGCCATGGGTGATAGGAAAAGCGGTAGAAAAGCGATCATAAGCGCTTTTAAATCCTGATTCTGCCGGTGCACCCCAGGTTGCACAGAAAAGAACTTTATATAAGCGGGCACTCTGATTTCCAGTTCTGACCAGGTTAAGGGGAATTAAGAAATCGCTTATAAGCGCTTTTTAATTCCGGGCACTCCCCCGTTCCGACCGGGTAACTGTAAGGGGCAGCATTGAAAAAGCGCTTATAAGCGCTTTTAAATTCCGGGCGCTACCCCGTTCCGACCAGGTTAGGTGCAGCATTGAAAAAGTGCTTATAAGCGCTTTCTAATTCCTGCCAACCAGGCCATGGGTGATAGGAAAAGCGGTAGAAAAGCGATCATAAGCGCTTTTAAATCCTGACTCTGCCGGTGCACCCCAGGTTGCACAGAAAAGCACTTTTAAGCGGGCACTCTGATTTCCAGTTCCGACCAGGTAAAGGGGAATTGAGAAATCGCTTATAAGCGCTTTTTAATTCCGGGCACTCCCCCGTTCCGACCAGGTTAGGGGCAGCATTGAAAAAGCGCTTATAAGCGCTTTTAAATTCCGGGCACTAGCCGGCTATAAGCCGGTTTATAGCCGGCTTATAACCGGCTTATAGCCGGTCGGTGATCTACCAATTTCCCTTAACCTTAAATAAGCACTTTCTAATTCCTGGCACTCTCCCTTATAAGCGCTTTCTAATTTCGGGTACTACCCCGTTCCGACCAGGTTAGGGGCAGCATTGAAAAAGCGCTTATAAGCGCTTTTAAATTCCGGGCACTACCCCGTTCCGACCAGGTTAGGGGCAGCATCGAAAAAGCGCTTATAAGCGCTTTTTAATTCCTGCTCACCTGGCCATGGATGATAGGAAAAGCGGTAAAAGCGGTAAAATAGCGATGAATTAGCCGTAATAAGCGATTTCTAGAAAAGCGATTATAATCGATTATAAGCGGTTATAAGATGTAATATAGCGTTTTCCTGACTCAATTTTAAAAGCGCTTATAAGCGCTTTATTTGCGCTTTACAAACAGCTAAATTGCACCCCACTTATGAGCGCTTATAATCGCTTATAAATGGTTCAAAAAAGCGCCTACGAATCGCTTATCCGGCCAACCGCTTATCCACCCGTTTTTGGCGCCAATCCTACTGGAAAACCGCTTTCAAATCGCTCAGCGACGCTAGTAAGCGCTTAAAAGCGCTTATAAGCGCTTTTAAATTCAAAAAAGCGCTTTTTTGAATTATGACATCAATTATAGTCGATTATAAGCGATTTTTTTTGAACCGTTTATAATCGTAAAAAAAGCGATTGTAAACGGTTTTTAAAAAAAAAAACGCCGAAAAAGCGCTCAATAAGCGATTATCGGCGCCGATCATAAAATATCGTTTATGGAAACTTGCCGTTTTAGTCTAGCTCAGCACTAATAGAAAACAATTAATCTTCTTTTGATAATATCTTCCAGCAATGATATTGGAATATTGGTCATGAGCCCACCACTATAGATTAAGATTATTTTACGGTTACAAGATCATTACCAATAACTTTGTCAGATTATTTGTCAGCTGAACCGGCTAACTTACGTAATTGTAATAGAAGTTTTTAACTAGCTCACCACAATTTTACCGGTTTCCAATCGCACAAAGAACCAGTATAAATCATACGTCAACCATAATATTACAATAATCTTACTTGTTGATCCACAGTACAGTGGATAGAGCATGCATGTCTACTATCACGTGACTCCTGATTCCTTCTAACACGTGACTTCTGATTCCTTCTATCACGTGGCTTCTGATTCCTTCTATCACGTGACTCCTGATTCCTTCTATCTCTCATGTGTCACGTGACTGATCCCTTTGTGTCACGTGGCTGATCAAAACGCTAAACAACACTGATATGTAGCGAGAAATCTTACATTGTCATTATATTCATTTTTAAATTTCGGAGCATATGATCGGACGAAGGAAGTGTTGTGTTAATCACGCTGAATATACAAAATATATATATATACGATATATATATATACGATATATATTATATATATAGCGACACATACAAACTAGTATCAGGCTCAGCACGCTGTATCACTCGATATTATGGTGAAATTGTCACAAAATACAAAAGCAAAAGTAGTATTTCGAGTGATTTTTCAGTGAAAAGAGCCCATAAATAGAACGGCGGAAATGAACGCTTTAGACGCAAACAATTGAATTCGTTCTGCGTGCACACACCACGTATAAGCATCGTTTATTTGATCAGTTACCATAGCAACAAGTAGGTAAACGATGAAAGCAACGTTCTGAAACTACCAGATAATGACAAATTGGTAGTTAATGAGTGCTATTAACAGGGTGGTGGCTGGTAGACTCTAGTACAGACAGCCACAATACAGGGGATATGAACGGAAATAGTCATTATTAAGAAATGCTGATTAATTTCAGCATTTGTTATGTTCTGACTTCTTTGTGTAAAGTAAGCTTTGAAAGTTCTGGAAACATGTGTAATGGTATAATGAGACTATGATTGTAGTTCTAGAAATGGCATGTTAGGTTATTAAAAGGGAATGTTAAGTAAGGCTTGAAATGAAAGAGCTAATTTTCGATATCAATAACATTAACTCTGTTTTACAACGATTATTACTTGATATGTTTGTGTAATAATCGATCATGAACGCATAAATAGTGAATATTAGACGAACAAACCACGGTGTTAGTGCTATTCGCAGCTCAATACTTTGACATAAAAAGGGGCAAACATCAGAGTTTCATCGTAACTCAATAATAAATAATTTGATCTATCGGATGAATTACTGAGGTTGCATGTCTAGTGATATGAATAGATTACAACCCCCCTGTAGACCATCTTCTTTTGTGACGCGGTTCCTGGTACTAATATTTTAATCTTTATTCTCCAACAATAACTACTAATATTGACTACTTGCACTGTACAGACAAATGATTCAGCCCCTAATTTCTAAAATTAGACGATATTTGCTTTTTAATGGTCGGGCAATGGCGAGGTTGAGATCAGATTATAGTCAGATTATAGTCGGATTATATGAACTGTATAATATATACAGTTTACTATATTAATATATAGTCTGGTTATTTTTGGGGTGTGGTTTTATCAAAGGTATGGTTATAGTTAGGTAGTGGTTCGGTAGTGGTTAGGTTGTGGTTCGGTAGTGGTTAGGTTGTGGTTAGGTTGTGGTTAGATTGTGGTTAGGTTGTGGTTAGGTTAAATGCTCACATTAAAGCCGGATTACAGTCTGGTGAAGGTCGGGTTAATTTTATAAAATTTTACAAATAAATACAAAATAACACTTACCTATGAAGAATAACACTTTCTTCCATGAAGTGTATTGGAATTGGAGGTAGAAGTGCCTAGGTGGACAGAGTTGTCACTGTCCGGCAACCGCATGTGAGTTCAGTCATACACACGCCTTGGATAAACAAACGATTAGATAAACAAACAATTACAAGTAGCATACATTATACACATGTTTGGTTGGTAGGGGTCATTGAATGTCCAAGATGGGTTTCAACGAAGGGGTAGTCAGAAGCTGAAGAGATAAAAATAAATGATAATTTTACAGTTTACCAAAATATTAAGCTCCACATTTATTTTAAGAAAGATTTAATCCTCAGCCTATATTCTTCTAAATATCACTATTATATATATTCCAGTAGACACTTTAAAAGACGAAACGCCCAAATGTCGGCAGTAATAGTAAAATCCTTAGCGAAAACGTTGCAATAAAATTGATGTGAATATTATTAGTATATATACTAATAATATTCACATCAATTTTATAAAATATATATATTTTATGAAAAGAAAAACGATTACGATCGATTAATAGACCTTAAACTTGTAAATAGACAGCTTCAACCCAAAATCATCTGGAAAGAATGGACTGGTAAAATTCATGTTAGAACATGTACTGATCTGAATTTAAACAGATGCTTATAGGTAAGATTTGAATTTTATCATTTGTCAAGAAAACTGATTGAGATAAGACAGTTTAATCGATTCTATGGAACAAGTCAGGGCAAGTCATTACGTTTCATGATGTAGAATTGACTAACGAGTGCAGAGTGGTCTAATCTGTGAACTCTTTTAAGAGTAATGATGCTGCTCAATGCTGACACACATTAACAAATATCATAGAATACACACGGAACTGTAGAAACTATAATATATATATTATGCATAATAGTAGTAGGTTAGTAACATCGTTAAGTTACACTGTAACTTAAAGTGAACGATAAATTTGGAAAATTTGAAAAATCTCTAATAAGCAAAAACGTTCAATACTTATTTCATACTTATAGGAAAGAACCGAATAATCCAGAATTTAAATCATCAAACTAATGCGAAAGTAAAGCCTGATTAAAGTATCATCTAAAAAGTGCACAGATTAACGATTAGAACGACCACCACGAACAAAACCCAAATTGTCTCTGACCCTGATCTCACAAAACATTTGAACTCAAACAACAATCCTACTTCTGCCCAAACTAAATACCAGACAGAACCTTTTAAAACACAATATACCAGGGTTTCATGTTACCACGTTGCTACAACCAAACTAATACGTAATATAACACATAATGCAGACTAATGTGTCGTTACCTAGTAACCCAGCTAATCTAATGCTTTCAGCATTTAGTATTGGAGGTTGATGAAGAAGACCCTTTTAGTGTTCTGCTATTGACTCGCTGTGTAGTTGTGTGAGAAGGGCATGTTTTCAGTGTGTTAAGTTAATCATCATGATATATTGACAGAATGGTATCTGGAATATATATAGGTGGTCAGGATTGAGTTACCGGGGCTACGCTGGTGGGCCTTGTTGGATGCTTGCCAGAAAGAAAGATAACACGGTCATTAGTTTTTTTAAAGCGAATTTGAACCTTAAGACCTGCAGGGTTTTCCACTTTCGTGCGATCTTGAGAAATATTCTGTAAGTTTTTAATAGAATCATTTGCATCGACCTTTGCCTTCAGGACCTTATACGTTATAGATGTTCGTTAATGAAAAATAGTGTGATCTTAGAAGGATTAATTTGAATTTTGAATAGTGACGAACAACAGTTAGGGGTAGATTGAACGTATTAACTGACAACTTCAGCTCAACAAATAAACAATCTTCTACGAAACGAAGGAGGACGAACAACAGGAAGCACCAGCTGAAGACGCAACGAGGTAATTCAAAAGCTTCTGAAAAAACAACCTTACAACCTCTCGTTTATTGGCCTGAACTATCCTCCAGATATATGTACACCATGAGTCTTGTACAGTAACAGTTGCAGTCTTAATGTAAAATATCTTCAAATCTTTCGACTTATCACGTCATGGGAATTCAAATATACCCTTATATGGCGCCTTAGTAAAATCGAATGCAATAACTAATAGTGCAGAACAATCATAATTTAGTGCGATTCTTGGAATTTGACCATTCAAGTTAATATCCTTTAACTTGTAGAATCAACTAAATAGCTGTCTTATTGCCTTCAATTCTGTCAGAACCATCGTGCATAATATTCTCAATATTAGTGTCGATTTCATTGTTTAAGTCCATGCCTAAAAATAAGGCACTGATAAATGGGAGTTTCAGAGGTTCATTGCAACACGAGGAAAGTCATGTGGGACCATTGCTATTGAGTACCTATTGAGTAAGAAATTGGAGCGTCTTTGGAGTATACGACAAGATTATCAGAGAGACTATCCAAGATACCAGTAATATTTTATAACTTATACCATGGGTTGCTCGTCACTTGGGGCGGTAGTAACAGACTTAAACATTACTAGTCAAGAAATAAAATTTTGCCATCTCCTTACCATCCCCTTAATATGGTAACGAGGTAACACTACGACCTGGTAATACCCTAGTATTATCTAGAAAACCGGAGTAGCATTTTATCATCCTGGTAATTGCCAGGCCTGTAATCCGTACTATTACTAGTCTGTATATTGGTTCTAAAAATAATGGGAAGCAAGAATAAGCCTGTCCTAAGCATCGCTCGGTGACACAAAAATCTCTCACAATAACGTAATTGAAGCTTTTATTGATAACAGCATGGTGATTGAGGTAATTACCAATCAACTGATAACAAGAAAGCAATACACTATGTTCAACATTAAAACAAGATTATCGTGCTATGTCCAACCCGTAAAAATCATCAAGCATGGCGCGATCTACATGCAATAATTCATCACGTGTCTGTTAAAGCTGAATTGTCACACGTATCAATAGATGTGACGATACAAAAATATATAGAGTTGATTTTATCGGTGGAGTTCTTGAGAAAGTTTTTTTGTGTTCATGCGATATCTTAGGTAAAACATGATAAAACAGATGGATAGATGTTTATGTTGTGTACCGTGTTAGAATCAGAAAACTGGGAAAGAACCGATAACGTATAATGAGATCCAACTGTTCAATATCAACTTGTAAAGATTTGATGTAAAGCTTTGCTTATCAGGTGACTAGAGTTTCAAACAATAGAGAATGATCAACATAATGTTGCGGGACATGAACATGTGATATCAGTCATTAGTGTATGGCCGTAGCTGTTCAATGTTCATACATCTCAGAGTTTAACATTTTGGATTTTTTTTCAAGTAGCTCTAGTAAGCAAAACTTTTTTTATATATTTATAAAATAGAAGATTATCTGTAGGTACTCAATTCTCTTCACAAAATATCAATGATCGGAAAATCTGGTGGAGTTAACAAAGATAATATACAGATAACAGATTTACAATATTTATCACTGCTTTGATAGGTTGTCTTATAATTACAAAATGCATGATGTTAACATTATTTCTTTATCTGTTCAACTGAAATAACTAGTTACTTGAGGCTGGTAGATACTAAGTCCTAACAACAAGTCCTGATGCCTTCAGATATTTTCAAAATATGCTATGCTTCATAAGCACTGTTTCTGCAGTTTTATTCAACTCGATGCGATAAGTTTGTGCAACAAAAACGACAAATACTTAATATGAGAATAGTGAAAAAGACTGTAATTCTGATTGTATTAAAAATACAGATGAAGCAATAAGGAATTAGCCAAGTATTCAGGACATCCAAGAATTGGCAGGACAAATGAACAACCCGGCATCTTTCACAGATGTTTCCGTCAGCGTTGGGTAATCCAACTTGGGTAACCCAACTTGGGTTTACAAATGATTATCATAATCAGAAACAACTTGAGTTCACAAATCACAAATGGTTATCATAATCAGAAAATTCAACAGCCAACGCCAGAAAACCCTACACGTGATATTGGAAACCAAATTCCTACATTCCCGGGCTTGAGCGTACCAAAGCAAAATGAGGATATTGCGGAGTGATAAAACATACAATTCATTCACAGCGCGCGGCGCCAACAGCCAACGAGTTTTGCGCGGCTCATCTAGTCTTATTTTGACGGTGACTTAAATTAGACCACTTTGTTGTCTCGATCTGTTAATAATAATAAGTATATCGTTTATTAAATAATACGAAGTGGATATTTTTAAATTCTTCATTTCCATAAACGTTCATTTGCATTTTGCGTTTTAAGATTATTTTCAAAAATTTACGTTATTTTAAATTAAACAGATCGAGCCAAATTTTTGATTACACTTGCTCGCTGTTCTGAAAAAAATCCGAAAACCTTTAACGGGTGATACTCATAAAATATTTGTTTCAAATATTAGACCGTCGACGAGTCCAACTCTGCAGTGCGTGTTTTGGTAAGTTATATTTATAAACCTTTTAAAAACTTAATTTATTCATGTCGTATTGAAAGCATAATCTGATAACGTAAATATTTAATTGACGATGTCAATTCATGGCAGCTCGGCGCGGCACAGTAGCGCATCTCGCCGATCTAGCCAGTGTCGCTGTGAGAAGCCTTACTAAGTGCGCGGCGCGGCACAGTAACGCATCGCGCTACAACGTAAATATATGTTATGGTGTTCATTTTATTTTACGCTTAATCTAGTGATATTATGAAACGTTGAAACGTTGACGAATTACTTGCTCTATCCAGAACCCTTTCGCTTGCAGTATACTTACTTTACTTTATTTTAACAGATATTTTACGAGTATCACCCGTAATTAAAGTATAATATAGTAGCGCGTGACCGCCGATACGAATTGGCGTAGACTCGACTCATGGCTAGGTCAAACGAATTACTTGTACTTTAAAAATTATGTTTGTTGCAGTATAACGACGCGAGAAACTTACCTGAGGACCCCAGGCTTTAATGTTGTTAAACTAATAGAGATTAGGCGGAATGACCGGCCGAGCGCGGCCCAGTAACGAGAAACGAGAATCATTACAAATTTTTATTAAACATATTTATCTAATTAAATTTATCTAGCTACTAATTATTATAAAATAAAATGATTCATTCAAACAATGTACACAAACAAATTTAGCTATATGGTA